ATTATTACGCCTGGCTTGCAGACAGACATTATATTCCACATTATTCGAACATTTTCTATACTTTATTGCAATATCCACGTAACATCACATTACTGCCCTGATTAAACTGATATAATAAATAATGATGCGTAAATATAGAATCTTAATTATTAAGAAAGAATTACAGATGAAAGTGCCCAGATTTCTTTTTTTTTTTTTTTTGTCTAATCAACTAAGATCACATGACAAAATTAATCTTGTAGTGTCCGTTAAGACTCAAAAATGATAAAACACTTTTCTCATAAATTTTAATATAATTACATTTCTTAGGATTCGAACGCCGAACCTATGGTTAAATCGAGAATTATTGTCGGGATTTACAAAACTTGTGTTTACATTATTATTTCGATTTATCATTATATGGATTATGAGTATCCATAATCATTTTCAAGTTACGTTAATTAATTTTCAATTAAAGCATAATAAGAAAGATGTTACATGTCTCAAATAATTTATTTCAAGTTGATGATGAACTAAGATTTCTAAAGCGATATGGGCTATTTGGTGTGAGCTTGGTAGCTCATGAACTTGGCTACCTGGGGCGAGACAAGTCCCCGATGTGAGCTCGGGCACAAGCTAAAGCAAGGAATTGTTTTATTGTAAGCGAGAACTCTCCAGACCATAATCATTTATCTACATCTAATCTTGATACTAATATATTGTATTGTGTTTTAATTAAAAAATCTAAACTAATAATAAGATTGCATATTTATTATTTATATATTATCATAACCCTACCTTGAGAGGTGTACAATCGCCATTCGGGAAGCTCTCAATTGACTCAAAATATTGAATCATGATAATGTTATTATGGAGTCGGATGCTTTGGTTGTGATACAGGCCAGGGCCTCAATTCTGGAATAGGAGAGTCATCTTTTGATTTACTTTTATTAGACATTAAAGATAAGATTGGGTATGTTCACTAATGTGTCTATCTTTTTTGTTAAGCGATCTGCGAACTAGGGGGTCATACTTTGACTAGGAAGTCCGTTTCTATGTCAAGTTGCAATGAGTGGCTTGTAAGTCCTAGACCTCCTCCTTTCCTTTGAAATGTTTTCCGGGATGATCTAAATTAATAGATGTGGTTGTTTTGTTTTGCAAAAAAAAATAAATAAATAAATAAATAAAATAAAAAGTTTACCTCCCAATGAATATATATTCAACACACAACACCTCCCATCCTTCTAAATCAACTCACGTACAACATATGTACGATATGTAAGAAAGGGTTTCATGTTCTAACCCCATTTTTTATCTTCTCAATTGTGAATCACTCTGTCACATCATTTTCAAAGAATCTTAGACGGTCAAAGAATACAAATCAAAGAGTGGGAAATGAACATTACTAAAAATTGTTAATCTATGATTAACGAACATGGGATCGAATCTGATACTGTGTGATATCTACGTACAGTTGCAGCTTTATGATTGTCTTAGGCGACTAACGTACGAACAGAGATGGACGCATGCCCATTATTGTTTGTCCAAACCACTTTGCAAAAATCCGTCTAGATGTCCGCCTAGGCCCGCTTAAGCGTTAGGCGCGCCTTAGACTTTGGCAATTTTTCCTCTAGACACCCCCCTAGCGTCTAACTCGATCGACTCGGCAGCCTAGCACCTAACTCGGTCGAGTTAACTCGTCCATTCCGATCGAGCTAATCCAGTCGGCTCGACTTTGCTATTCTTTTTTCATTATATATATATATATATATAGACACCCACACACGTGCACTCTTTTTTTTTTTTTAATTAACGTCCGCCTAGACTGTCTAGGCGCTAGGTGCTACTCTATCGCCTGACTAGCACCTACTGCAACCATGGTCCAAACCAACAAAATTTGAAAACGCCACAGCTGACAGTAACATATACAATGTTAGATATATTTCATATGTTATTGGAAGATGTTAAGTGTTAAGTGTTAAGTATTAGAATGAAATAAAACAAAGTAAAGTGAAATAGAGTGATAAAACATGTCTCCATGTTTGAACTTGAAGTGAGTTTGCTAAGTCAGATGCAAAGATGAGTTCACGGTTGGTATGTGAATAATTTTGTAAATGTATCATTAGTGCGAGTATATAGTCATTAACGTGCAATCCAACTTTCAGCTTAGGCTTTTAGTTGAGATGGAGCACATGCTTCAATTATTAGGGTGTTCTATAAATATAATATTTGTAACATAATTTTTTTGTCATCACAATTAATAAAAGATTTCTTTTACTTTCGTGGTAGGTTTTAATAAGACGAACCATGTAAATTCTTCTTCACTTTTTATATTAAAAAAAAAAAAAAATTGATCTCAATTTTCTCAAAAAAAAAAAAAAAAAAAAAAAAAAAAAAAAAAAACAGATGATTTAAAAAGCAAGAGAGAGAAAGAGAAAGTGTGAAGAACCTCTAGCTAGCTAATTATTCTCTACACTTGTTTTCCAACTTCAATGGATGGCTAAGCTTCGTTTTGTGTTCTTAGTGGTGTGGACCAAAGATAAATGGGATCCTTCAATTCTTTAATTTGCCTGCAAAACCAATTATATCACTAGTTTTGCCATTTTTTTATTTTCTAATTAGAGATTCTCAGTATCTCACCATCTTATATAAAATATACAAATTTTTATGTAACTCTATTTCATAACACACAAACATAAAATCTTAATTATTATTGAAGAAATTTTGAATTACCAAAAGAAAATGACAGTAAGGATTAATTATATAAGCACTTATTATCATTAATAATCAAAAGTTATAATAAATACTGAAAGCACAACTCACATGCATAGCACTTAGACTATATTTCAAGCGGCTTCAGCTCCGACCAACAATACCTCTCAACACTTACTAAATTTGTGACCTATTTTGATGTTATTCTTCAGTAACTCAAGTGGGAGAGCCCTAAATTGCTGAAGTATAATAAGGACAAAAGTTTGTTACCATATGTATCAATGTATGCAACAATATAATATTATTTTAAAAGGGTTATTCGTGAATGAAATTGATTGACTGAGACATAACTAATTAAACTTTTTTTATATAAATATCAATAATGTGTGAATATATATATAATCCAAATCTTGCTATTAGATCACAGCCACAAGGCCACAATAAGTCGTTGTCAACACCACTATTCTCACAAATAGTAGTAAATTATTAGTACATACTCCGTATTATTCAATCACCACTAGACCTAATCATAGTTAGAATGAGACTTCTAAAAGTTTAAGTATTCGAATTCCAAAAATAAAAAAATAAAAAATAAAAAAATTTCATGTGTAGTCTATAAAATATTGTAATTATTTTAGTATATTCATAAGTGATTTTAGTCATTTTTTTTTGTTATAAAAAAAAAAAAAAAAAAAAAAAAAAAAAACAACCCTCCATAATATTATTGTAGTCTAAAAGTTTAGGTTTATTTTTAATCTTCATTTTATTTTAAAGGGAAAGAATCTTAAATCTTTTAGGCCCTATTTGATAAATGGTTGTTAACTGATTGTGTTAATTAGAGGGTATAACTAGTTGATAACATTAGCTGTTGTAGATAAGTATTTGGTATAATTTTTTTTTTAAAAAAAATTAATTGAAAAAATTGTTTGGAGTAACTTTTTGAATCAGTTGGGACTAGTTTAGTTATGGTTAATATAAATAAATCCCATTATAAGCTTCCAAATCAAGAATGTACTTTCACATGAGTATATGATGTTACATTCTCTACAAAAATCAATTTTTAATATTCAATTATGTTATGCTATTTTTATTTTTTATTTTTTTTGGGAATATGATATATATGCTATTTTTTAGGTAATGGAAGAAATGTGTAATCATTATCCGATAATAGTTTGCAAATAAAATAGTAGAAGTAAATTTCATTAAAAAGACTACATGTGATGAGTTTGAACAAGAAAGTTGATATGTCATTATATATTGTTTAGTGATTTTAGTATAAAAGTAATATTTTTCCCTTCATGTTCGTATTTAGCAGTAATTTTTATTTTATTTTAATTAATAAGAAAAAATGTTAAATAAGCTATTGAATTTTACACATTGTGCAACTGAATCATCGAAAAAAAAAAGAAGTGTGTAGTGCAATTGGACCATTAAAAATTTAAAAATTGTGCAAATAGCATTTTATATAGGTTATTACTTCCAAGTTTTTCTTAAATACGATGTCATGTCAAATTATATATTAAAATTATTTTAACTATTATTTTTAAAAATTAAAAGAAAAAAAAACAATTTTTTTTTAAATTGCTACCTCCACCTTCTTCTGAAATTAAAAAAAAAAAAAAATTATATCATGATATCATATTTAAGGGAAACTTTGGAAGTAACCTGTAAAAAATGCTATTTGCACAATTTTTGAGTTTTTAATAGTATAGTCCAATTGCACATTTTTTTGTTCGATGGTTCAATTGCACAATGTGTAAAAGTTCAATGGCCTATTTGACACTTTTTCCTAAATTGTATAAAGATTTAAAGAATCAAAACACAACACAAAGTCACAACTCACAAAGTATATTTTTTTATTACACTTTTTGGGTTTTGTGACCGATTTGAACAATTTAGAGTTATTTCACTAAGAACGACGTCAGTTTGAGCGAAATAAGCTATTTAAAAAAACACGAAAAAATAGTTAATTGGCAGCCTAAACACTCACCTAGGCCACCTAACCGACCGCCTAGTTAGCACCTATTAAGCGCGATTTTTACAACATTGAATATAATGCATTTCCGTTTACAAAATGCATTGTATAACCTCTTTAAAATTATGAAAAAAATCTTGAAAAGTGAAATAAAAATTGTGATGAATTTTTTAGAAGTGGTAAAAAAAAAAATGTGTAACGTTGTTAGTTGATGGATGTGGGGCGTTGTTGAACACCATACACACGACCATATAACAAGCACATTCTAGGGTGCAAAATCCTCACAATCATTACACTACTCCTAAAACACACTTTAATTTTAATTGTTTGGTGTTTAATTAGTTCTTCAAGTTTTACAAAATTATACTTGTAATTTCCTCATTACTCTACCTTTGACTTCCAACTCCCCTCTATCACTCTCTCTCTCTCTTTCTCTCTCCAAATATTATTTTTATAAGTCAAACACTTTGCTCCCAATCTCCATATATACCCATATTCCCCGCATTGCTAGAGTGGTGAAGAGATCAATAAACAAGGCAGGAGAAAAAAAAAAAAAAAAAAAAAACATCATTCGCAATGGCAGGAGACAAGAATCCCATGTATGTGGAGCAGTCCCTAGAGAATGGGGAAACCCAAAAGAATTTCGACGACGACGGGCGACATAAAAGAACCGGTAAAACATTATACATAGTATATTTTTTTATGTGTACGAGGTTGTTTTTTTGTTCAATGCAAAATTATTATTGGATGGTTTGTGGGTTTGGATTTGAAGGGACGTTGCTGACGGCGAGTGCCCACATAATCACCGCCGTGATAGGCTCCGGCGTGCTGTCTTTAGCATGGGCTATAGCTCAGCTGGGTTGGGTCGCCGGCCCCGCCGTTCTCATGGCCTTTTCTTTCATCACTTACTTCACCTCCACCTTGCTCGCCGACTGCTACCGCTCCCCCGGCCCTACCGGCGGCAAGAGAAACTACACTTACATGGACGTCGTCCGCTCTCACCTAGGTATGTCAAATCCCTTCTCTTTTTCAAGAGTGTGTACTGAGTAAATTCCGTTTTATAACTCAGCCCGGTAAAGAAGCTAAATACAAATGCACATAAAGATTTGTCTACTTTGAGTATAATCCTCACACTACTACCGAAAAAGTTCAAACCTTGTTTCATCTTACAAATATTACATACTGAATTATTGAGCTAAGTCTTATAAAGTGTATAACTTGATTTTACTATATGTTTCTATAACCTTATATCTAGACTCTAAGGACTCGTTTGGTTCGCGGAAAATATTTTAAGGGAAGTAGAATTGAAATTCCATGGAAAAATAATTACTAGGAAGATGAATTTCATTGTTTGGTTGGTGGAAAAATATTTACTAGGAATATTAATTCTATTGTTTGGTTAGATTTGGAATTGTAAGGAATAACGAGTATAAAGACCTATATGCCCCTGCAAATTAATAAGAGTGATATAATTAAAAAAAAAAAATAAGGGTAAAATAGGTAATTCATATCATTTTTTCTTCCCATCTTCCATGAAAAACAAAATCCTTAGTTCAACTAAAGATTTTATTTTCGTCAAATTTGAGAAATTCATTTTCCAATTCCATGAACCAAACACCCGTAAACAACATTTCCTCCACTTTCATGAACCAAACATCCCCTAAGAGTATTCATTTTTAAAAGTAGGACAAAAGCGGTTTTAGTGTCATGTTTTATAAAATTATTTTATTTTTCTAATTTTGGAGTTTATGAGTCAAAGAGTTACTACGTGGCTATCAGTGAAACCCATTCCCCAGGTGTGATTAATTTTTAATAAATAAAAAAGGATTGAATTAAATTCCTTAAATTCAATTCCCAACTGCATTTCGATCAGAGGGACAGAAATGGGATATTAATTTGACATTTAATTTGAATTAATTAATGGGGTGTTTTTGGCATTTAATTTGAAGGAGGTGTGAAGGTGCAACTCTGTGGGCTGGCTCAGTATGCAAATCTCGTTGGGATTACTATTGGTTACACTATAACTGCATCTATCAGCATGGTGTAAGTTCCCCAAATTACCCCTCCACTTTTTACCTTTCTTCCCTAAAGTTAAGATTTATTCCCTCCACTTTTCACTTTTTTTTTCTTTATATTTCCACTCCCTCAATTTAACTTAGGCCCAGTTTAGTAAAATAGTTAGTCTATCAGTCAATTTTAGTTTGTTTAACCACTATTGATTGTTTGACTTGATTAAATAACCAAAATGAGTATTTGATTAATTAGCTTTTTGTAACAGTTTATTGTTCCAAAACACTATTCAAAAAACTGCTCAAAACAGCTTTTTTAAAAAATCATTTTGTATGTAATCAGTTATCAACTAACAGCTAATTTACCAAACATCTTTCTACAATCAGTTAATGCTATCAACTAGTCAAACTCATTAACAATTATTTACTAAACACCCCCTCAATGTTTTGAATTATTTAAAAAAAAAAAAAAAAAACCTTTGCCGTAAATATCTTACATAATTATTTATATTTATTAGTTGCTTGTAAATTGATCGACAGTAAAAAATTAAATACTATAAGATAAATTTAGACCGATAAAGCTAAGGAAGAATATAGCATCAATTTCTATTCTTTATGTAGTTTACAAGGTAGGGCTCAAAAAAAAGAAACACTACTTCTATAACACTGACAATATAATTACTAACATTTGAAAAGATATATTAACTTTGTTGTAAGCAACTATACTGCCAAGCACGTGATATTGTTTCATCACCTCGATTTTTTTATTATTTTGTTTTATCTATACATGCATACTAAAAAACAACTAACTAAAAGTTACCACTTTTAAATGATACATAATAGGTGATAGATAAAAACTTAGATCCATTAAACAACAACAACAACAACAACAATAATAATAATTATATTATTATTATTATTAATTTTTTATTGATTTTTGAGGTGGTATTGATCTGATGTGCAGGGCGGTGAGAAAGTCAAACTGCTACCACAGATACGGTCATGAGGCGGCGTGTGCCATATCAAATTACCCGTTCATGATAATATTTGCGGGAATCCAGATTATTCTCAGCCAGATTCCTAATTTCCATGAACTCTCATGGCTCTCTATTCTCGCAGCTGTCATGTCTTTCGCTTACTCATCTATTGGCCTTGCCCTCTCCATTGCCAAAGTTGCAGGTATACATATCACTCAAGCGTTTATCACTACGCCAAAAACTATAGCTAATAATGAAGACGCAACTTCATTTTCTTAAATTGTCACAATTTCGAGAGGTACTGTAGACTTGACTCTTCAAACCTCTGCCCAACAATCCTCGATACTAACTAACCTAGGCCTGGTGGTGTTGGCTATAGTAATGAAGAAGCAATTTTATTTTCTTATACTGTCACATTTTCGAGAGGTCAGTAGACTTGACTCTTCAGATCTCTGTCCAACACTCATCGATTCTAGCTAATCCCCGCATGGTGGCCGATGTTGGCTGGATTTGGCCTTTCACCAGCCTCCAACAAGAAGCTAATAGTTTTTATAGTGTTTTGATGTTTTGTATGTGGTGATTAATTATATTATATTATATTATATTAATGAGAATATATATAATTTTGGTGTTGTGAAGGTGGTGGGCATCATGTAAGGACAAGCTTGACAGGAGTGACAATAGGTGTTGATGTATCAGGGGGTGAGAAAGTGTGGAGAAGCTTCCAAGCCATTGGTGATATTGCTTTCGCCTATGCTTACTCAACTGTCCTCATCGAGATACAGGCAAGCCTTACCTTTCACCTTACTACTTATCCTTTGGTAAACTTTTACCATTTCAATGTTTTTATAATAATAATAATAATAATAATAATAATAATAATAATAATAATAATAATAATAATAATAATAATAATAATAATAATAATAATGAAGAACTATTATCCTCAAAAAAAAAAAATAATAATAAAGAACTCTTAATCAAGTTGGGTCACATTCTACAAGCACAATTAAGACGAAATCAGGATTAGTCATATAATGGTGAAAGTACCAAATGTTAAAAAAAAAAAAAAAAAATGTGTCTTTATATATATATATAGAATAGAATGTAGCCACATATATAGTCTTGTGGGGGTAATAATTAGAATTTATATATGAGGTGGTGCATGCATGAAACTTTGCTATATATAGATCTTGAACACCTTTTGTAACGTGGGGTGCATTTTTACTTAGGTCCACGTAAATTAAACATTAAAAAATTAAATATATTTTTAAAAAAGAAAAATCATAAGTAACAGTGACACATCGTGAGAATGAGACGAAGATGCTGTTGATGCAATGAGTCTGATTAGTTTATCGGAAGGGACAAAGATCACGTTTAAATATTAATGTTAAACTAATGGTGATAAAGTAATATAAGTTACTAATGCTGATCACCATTAATATATGATCATTAGCGACGTTTTCACCATAGATGGACCACTAGTTTTGAGTTGTTGGGCCACCAAATGGTAAGGCCTTTTTCACTACAAAGCTCGTCTCCTCCCTCCGGCAAATTATGCTGTGCATCCGTATGCACCATACATGGTGCATACGGATGCAAAAACGACGTCGTTTTATTAAAAACGCGCGTCTCTCTTTAAAAAAATAAATTCAGGTTCGATTCCTAGCAACAACATATGAATTAAAATTTCAGAATCGATGAACTATAATTCCATAATCGATGAACTATAATTCCATAATTGATGAACTAAAATTTCAGAATGAATGAACTAAAATTCCAGAATCTATGAACTAAAATTTCAGAATCGATGAACTACAATTCCATAATCGATGAACTATAATTCCAGAATCAATGAACTAAAATTCCATAATCTATGAACTAAAATTCCAGAATGAATGAACAATATAATGTTGTTGCTGGGAATCGAACCTGGAATTTTTTTTTTAAAGAGGAAACGCGCGTTTTTAATAAAACGAAGTCGTTTTTGCATCCGTATACACCATGCATGGTGCATACGGATGCACAGCATAACTACTCCCTCCCTCCACCATATCTTCTGGTGATCTACGTGGGCCCCTACTTATTTAACAACATACACAACACATGAGTGTTTGGCAATGAATAGATCAAACTTTTGTGGCTAAGGTTTTATGAAAATTTTGATCTTAGACTAGACGACAGGATAACGATTAATACTTAACGAGTCGTTGTTACAGCCTGGGCTTGTATGCGAGGCCATGGTTGGAAACCGATATGCCAAACGATTAGTACTTATCGAGTCATTGTTACAACCTGGGCTATAGTGGCTTGCATGTGGAGGCTAAGGTTGGAAACAGTTATGTCAATTAGAGTTCTTGTCCATAGTATAGTGGCAAAAGAGACAAAAAAAAATGTAAAAATAGGGGACCAACCAGATTAGTAGAGTGTTTGAAATCGAGTCGCGAAAATTTATGAGTTGAGAATCGAGTTAGACCGCCAGTAATCGGATTCTGCTTGAAACTGACTAATCCAACTGAGTTTTGATCAGGTCCAGTTAGACCGCCAGTAATTGGATTCTGCTTGAAACTGACTAATCCAACTGAGTTTTGATCGGGTTTCATGAGCTGTAGTAAAAGATGAAATAATGGGTCAAAATGTGAATGCAGGACACATTGAGATCACACCCACCAGAAAACAAGGTAATGAAGAAAGCATCTGGGGTTGGAGTGACCACAACCACATTGTTCTATGTCCTATGTGGTTGCCTTGGCTATGCGGCGTTCGGAAACAATGCTCCCGGAAACTTCCTCACCGGTTTCGGCTTCTACGAGCCCTTCTGGCTGATCGACTTCGCCAACGTCTGCATCGCCATCCATCTCATCGGCGCTTACCAGGTAACTAACACACACTTCATTCATCATATGCCGCAACAATGATCTGATGAATGAATTCATGAATCTAACTTCTCGGTTTCCAGGTTTTTTGCCAACCACTATTCAGCTTTGTCGAGTCTCGCTGCAGCCAGAGATGGCCAGACAGCAAATTCATAACCGCGGAATATGAAGTGAATGTCCCATGCTTTGGCACTTGCTCCATCAACTTCTTCAGGCTGGTGTGGAGAACAGGTTATGTCATAGTCACAGCCGTGGTTGCCATGATATTCCCGTTCTTCAACGACTTCTTGGGGCTGATTGGGGCCGCCTCGTTCTATCCACTCACCGTCTACTTCCCGATTGAGATGCACATCGCCCAGACCAAGATCCCCAAGTACTCGTTCAGATGGATATGGCTGAAGATCCTGAGCTGGACTTGCCTGGTTGTATCGCTCGTCGCTGCTGCTGGATCCATTCAAGGGCTCGCGTCTGATGTCAAGACGTACAAACCTTTCAAAGCTCAATGAGTAGCCGGAACAAAGTAATGAACTTGTGAAAAATGTAATGTTATGAAATAAGTTAAGAACTAGTTCATGGTAGTGAACTGCAATGTAGTGATGTTCAAAAAATTTATTATGCAATGTTAAATTTATGGAAGGGTTAAGCAGAACTTGCCATAAGTGCCCATTAAGAATGATTCGATACAAAGGACAGATCATCTAAGCTATTTGTTTCATACACCACAAAACTTACAGGATTAAGCACTTACTACTACGCTAAAGCTAATAGTGGAGGCGAAACTATATTTTTCTATATTTGTGTAACAACCAGCATCAGTGGGTGGTAGAGGTGTCAGCGGGCGGGTTTGGGCCAGCCCGATCTGGCCCACCATTGGCCCATTTATTTTTTGGACCAAGCAATTAGATTTCGGACCGAGTATAAATGGACCAGGCTGGGCTGGCCCAAATGGACTAGCTCTAGTCCGCCCATTGTAACAAATGGACCGGGCAGAGTCGTGCCTGAACTGGACTTGGGCTAGCCCGTCCATTTGACACCTAAATGATTTCAATGGTCTCTAAAAGGAAAAGTAGAAGCTTTACACATAAATGATAACAAATTCTGAAGTCAAGGAAGGAAATGAATGTACCTTCATCTCAAAAGGAACCTAGATGTAAATGTGTAAACCACAGCAGAACATTCGAATCATGGCTGCCAAACAACTGAAAGCCACAAAGCAAATTTGTTAAATGCAAAAGTAACCAGATAGAGATTTCTTCTTCTGTATCACCTATCCACTGCCATTTGGTATAAGATGAAAACAATATTTTCTATTTTACATTCGTGTGAACTTCAGCAATATGTTGTAGCCAGAGCCTTAAACAAAGCCACAACCAGAAATCCATCAGAAGCTGGAAGCATTTCTTAGGTTGAAAAGTAACTTTTTCAACTTAGTAAATAACTTATTCACATTAAACATTCCATGCAACATATCATATATTCATAAGGAGTAAAATATGGGTACCTGTTCATGAAAGTATTGCATAATGGAGGAATATAAAACCATAAGGAAATTTGCATTTAGTCTTCAAGAAGGAAATAAAAGTCAATGAGATGGAAACTTTAACAAAACGGCCACAAATCACGGGCTCATTGTAAATTTGGAGTTCTATATTACATGCTAGCTAATCCAGGAAGAGTTATGGGACCAACCTAGTAACGAATTCCAGACCCTTCCATCTCCTACCCAAAAATTCATTAAATTTGAACAACTATCAAAAGCATCCTAGTTTTCTGTTTTAAGGTTCTGTGACAACAAAATCCATGTTTCACTGCTCAAACAAGCCCTTCAAGCAATACTGAAATGTCATCCAGTCCATGAGGTGCCGGGAGATTCATGACAGTTTGTGTTAGTTCCCAGCAGTAGGTGGAGAATGATTTGATTTAAACCAGAAATTATGGGTTTTACATTTGCCAGTCCCCATAGATCCTTCAGCTCTGTTGGAAGTATTATTAGAACAAATTCAGTCTTATACAATAACGAGTGTTCTAATACAAAATGACTGCTACAAATTGCCTCAAACACACAGACTATTTATAGCTTACTATCTGCAAGACCAGGATATTACCTTAGTATCAATAATCATGCTGCTTCTGTCTCAAGCATCACAAATGCCTGAATAAGAGACTGTGCAGCATTTGTTTGCTCAGGTGTTCCAGATATAATTATCATAGCCTCTGTTGCTCCAGGCTTGGGATCATTAATGATAACTTTTGCATCAGAAATCTAGCAAAGTACAAACTTAAGGCTATTAACCCTTCTCGCTAAAGGAGACTTATAAAATAAAAGAAGTGACTAAGATAGTTATTTGGAAATCAAATGCCAGCTTCATAATGTAAAATTAAAATCAAATTCAAGGAGATGCCCCCACCCCCCACCCCCAAAAAATAATAAAATAAATAATAATGAAAGAAAAACAAAAGAAGAAGATCCAGAACTAAGAATTGCACCTCACATATTTGTCTGAGACATCCCCCACCATCCCCATAGATTTCAGGAACAACAGAACGAGGAACAACTACTTCCACCTTGGTGCTAGTTATAATAGCTGGACTTGCCCTGAAATGATAAGATTTAATGTTACTCCCACATAATAAAAGAATTAGAAGTAATGATGGAAAACTAAATACTGCTAAAGGCAAAAAAGGAGCAAAAAGTGTTGTATGTGTAGAAGCACAAACCCTCCAAATCCACCAATTCTTCTCTGGGGACCTGCTGCATAGTCAGGCATGCCCATTGGACCACCACCATCAATCAGTCCCTGCATGCCAGTTCAGAGATTTAGAAGGATAATAATAAGTTAATAACTATTTACCATTTTAGTATATTGTGCCTTTTGTTATTCAACAATATAAATATATAATAAGAACAATTCAAATGTATTTTCCACAAGTCATCAACCTTATAAAAGCAACGGGGTATGCACCACTAGAAACACAATTCAGCTAGAAAGTAAAGATGTTCACTAATTAATAAGAATAATTAATAAAAGGAGGATCACTTAAAATGGTATTGAAAGTTGATACCTGGGGAACCCAAGGTCCAGAAGATGGCATCCGTTCGGAAACAGGAGGTCGGACGCCTGACCTGTGAAAATTAGGCATATATGGAGGACGATCATCATGTGGATGGAAACCACCACGTGGAGGCAGCCCTCCAATGGCATCAAACTGGTGAAATGGTGGACCCATACTAGGATACATTCCAGCAGGAGAAAGTTCCCGCCGTCCCCTGTATGAAGGAAAAGGAGGAATATGGTCCAGAAAGCGAGGATTTGTTGGTCGATTCATAGAAGGAAATGCATCACGAAAGAAATGCTCCTGCAATCTTGAGGTTATCTGAAAAAGAGCCTCTTGAACTGTATCGAATTCACCACTTACCTGCAACAGAGAAGCGCAAAAAATTAAGGCCCAGCACCAGTGAAAGCCTATTTCACCCTCATGTTCCCATTTGAGACCAAGTAAGGACAAGACCAAATTAAATGGGAAATGTGTGAATTAGGACTTATTAATTTTAATAAAACTAGCAAGCCTCTCAAGTCTTAAGCAGGAAAAATAAAATAAACCAAAACATAAACTCATCTCCTATGCCTAATCACCTGAACTACTTCTTCATTCTCTGAAGCACAATTTGGTGTTTGATCCTTCCCAAGAATACGAATATAAGCACCAGTTGATTTCCTCATTTCAGCAATAATAGAACCACCTTTGCCCAGAAGGCATCCAATTTGATTAGAGGAGACAAGAAGTTTTGCTAGCATTGTGTTGTCCTTGCTTTCAGGTAGAGCCCTAAAAATTCTGGACTGTACACGAAGGACAGCATCTTGTGGAGGAGATAGCCTATCATGTGGATGCTGCATGAATAGAACAAATGTAAATATTTGTTTCCTTGTATCATCAACTAATAAATTTTAGGAATACAATTATGGAGAGCCCAAGTAAATTTTATCTTCAGACCAACTTCACTAGAAAGAGAAGAAAAGAAAATCAAAGAACCACAAGCATCATAGGTCAAAATCAACACTGCAGCTACTCATAAGCTCTTATATAATTCATTGATAGCCTTATGTATTGTCTCCTAGACTTAGCTAATTTAGTATTATTCAGGTAGGAATGGGCCAAACCCATCATTATAGCTAAAGATTTTACTGGGAAAAGAAAAATAGAGCAGCAGTTTTAAGTCATACCACCGAACCAGATATGGCAATAATCCGATCTTCAGAATCAGCTACACCTTCTAGAACTTGGATCTCACAGCCAGTCTCGTGTTGAATTGTCTTTATTATACTCCCTCCTTTTCCAATTACACCTCCCACTTTTTCATCAGGACAAAGTAATCGGAAAGTTAAGGCATCCTGAGGAGGATTCATTTGGCCACGAAATCCAGTTTCACCATCATGATATCCAGTAGAATAAGGTGGTCTTGGTCCATTGAAAGGATTATTTGGTCGAGGGTGTGAATCCTGGCTAGAAAAGCGGTGGCCAGACGGATGAGAAGAGGGCCCACTTGCATTGGCCGACAAAGGATCTTGATCCAGAGGGGAGCTTCCGAGAAGTTGTTGAGAAACAGACTCAATAGCTTTCTTAACAGCACCATGTTGCCCAGAAATCTGTAATAAAACACAGAACCATATAAGTGCATTTATTCCAGACAACTTATTGCTGCCTGGAAATGAGTGTCAAGGCACAGAAACTTAACCTGAGTCTTCTCTTAGATGAATATACCACATTTAGGAGGTAGCCAACATGATGACCACAAATTTAAAGCAAAATCAAAATTAAAGAAAAAGAAATGCAGGTAATTTTCAGCTCAGCAGTCAGGACTGCGTAATGCATATCAGGAAACACCAATGATTTCAATTAAATCAAGCTATTTCATTTCTCAAAAATATATTTAAAGACCAAGTAAAATTCAGAAGAGAAAGTATTGAGTATGCACTTCAGATCATTGAAGCTTCCAAAGATTTGTCCAATAATTCATGACCAAGACTGATATTCTTAGCACAATGCAAAGGTTCTTTATTATCATGTTAACTGTTGTTCAACTAAACCAAACATTAGAATATTATCACAAATAAGTTATAAATCCCCTAAAATTTATACAACAGCGACATTGTCATAAATTTCTGACATGATGATTAGAAAATGTTACCAAAGTTCTGTTTATTACTACTGTTATAAAATGCTGCCTTTGGGATAGCTTCTATGTGAATCTAGCCCTATAACTACAGTGAAAAAAAATCACCTGAACAAGATCATCAGATGAAGAAGCACAAAGAGGAAGTTTCTCCCTTGCAAGAATGTGTATCTCAGCCCCGCTCTCAGACGACATTTGCTTTAAGACACTACCACCTTTCCCCATCAAGCAGTTCACTTGGCTGCTGAATATGAGCAACCTTAAAGTTAAAAAGGAAGAATTATTACCCTCGTCATCTCCCCTGTCCTTCTCCAAATCTTCTTTAGCCATTCTTTCACATAAGCACAGCAGAGCTTCCTGAACAGCTGAAATTTCTCTTCTCAATTTGGAATCTTCAGCCTCGGCAGACTGTTTACTTTCGCCATTGCCATCATTTTCAGCCAACTCATTGCCCGTATCTTTTGCATCAGTTTCCTCAACCTTGGCCTTATGCTGCTCAGATCCTGCTCCATCTTTATTCCCCGAACCTAAAACAACAACCACTCTCTCATCACATCCAGGGATAGCTTCCTCAACCCGAAACTCTGCACCAGTTGCCTGACCTATTTCAGGAAGGATGTTGCCATCTTCTCCAATGATAAAGCCAATTCTTGAAATAGGACAGAGGACACGAAGAAACTTGCTTGGAGTAGATGTCTCCAATGGTGATTTCTCTGAACCTAAACCAGCTGATTTTTGCAACTTCCCTCTGTCATTAGTTTCTGTAATGCTTCGATCATATGGTCTCTTAGAAGGTGTTAACTTTACTGACATATCTAGATAATCCACAAAAGTAAGAAGCAAACCATTAGATAGGTAAACAAAGATAAAATAAGATCAGATACTTGAAACCAAAGACAGAGCACAACCATAATCTATAAACAAACAACTACCTATCCAAAAAATTGCATATCAATACGCTCAAATTTGTATGCCATTATGCCAAGCCCCTTGAAAATTGCTAATTTAGGGTTTGGTAGACATGCACAATCGTAGTAAATTTAGCAGAACGAAACAGATATAACTCAAATCAAAGCCACAAGCAAAAATTGGAGTCTAAAGACGACGACAGGATGTGAGATTAAAGGAGCTACTTGCCTTTGTGCTGCCTCGCGTACCAACTTGATACTTCAGACCTTGAGAGAGATTGAAATGCAGAATTGAGGAAGAGTTCCTGAGAGTGAAGGAAATGAAATCTAGGGTTATTTTATGTTTTATTTGTTTTTTTTTTTTTTAATAAAATTGATAACATAGGTTTCTCACTTTTGGGGATTATATTTGGACCCACGACCTCGTCTCGGCCCATGATAAGATAAGTCAAGTCTTAACGTTCTGTTCTTGGCCCGTGTTAAGGCATTTTTGTGCATAACGAATCCAATTCAAACTCCTTAATGTTTATTACTGGAATCGAATTTCTATCCTACCATTGAAAGTAAGTATTAAGTAGTATTCTCGTTCACTAGATCAATTCATTGTTACTATTTGTTTAAAATTTATCTTTTGGACGGTAAATTTTTATTTAGTTAATTTTTGATCAAAAATAAAAAATAATCACACTTTTTATTTTTAATTTTATTTCATCTCAACGGGTATCCTAAATTCCTAATGTTGTAGGACAAGTAATGGTTATTTTTACAACTATATAATTGAAATTAAAAAAAAAAAAAAGAAAAAAAAAAAGATCATGATACATGACTTTTGTTAAATTTGTGAAATAATTACACACAATAGATTAATGCCAATAAAATTAACTAGAAATATATGTACATGATATGTTATAATATATATATATATATATATATATATATATATATATATAAAATATTAAATTAGTATACAGTAAACATGATTATGCCCTTGATAGGATTGTGGCTTATTCCCACCCCTAACAACATTTCTCCATTGAGTAAAATTTCTTTATTTCATTTCATAAATTTCAATACCAAGCATTCGAGTTCATATTTGAATAGACTATAAGACTAATTGAAATTAGCAAAAGGTTTAACATCTATTTAGAGCACATGAATTTAGTAATTGACAATTTACCCTAGTAATACACATCAAAATCCATCAAGAAACTTACTTTGGAGTAGACAAGTTTTCTTTCAGAATTAATTACACCCCTCAATGAAATGAAGTACTAAAAAACACAAAATGTCGTTAATGGATAAATTGTCCTGGTAATGTGCATCAGAATACCACCAAACAATTTACTTTAGACTACTCAACTTTTCTTCGGATACTCAATTGCATCTCTCAATGATATAAAGTAAAAATCTTGAAATTTCATTCATAGATAAATTATCCCAGTGATGTGCGTCAAAATGTCACCAATCAACCTATTTTGAATTGCACAAATTTTCTTTAGCGACTCAACTACACCCCACAATGCGATAAAATGAAAAGTTGTAAATCACACTCTAACTGCAATAATCATGTGTGCACAAAAGAAGGGGGGGGGGGGGGGGGGGGAAAGCATATTGAATTCAGAAATTTGATTAAAAATAAAATTGAAATTGGCTTACTGTTTCAGCTGTATAACTTCTTGAATTTCAATCTTTAGGGAAATGTTGCTTTGAGCTTCTTGATGAAGGGAATGCAATTAGCAAAACGAAACCCTTGAACTAAAATTAAGAGTTTAAGTAACGGTGATTAATCAAATTGGTTAGTTAGTAATGAAACGGTTTAGTATTTGGTTCCTTTTCTTTCTTTCACGTCAGTCCTTGAGATTCATTGACAATTACGCTAACTTCCCTATATTTAAAGACAATCACAAGAATGGTATGTCATTGTGAATTGGCTAACATCCCAATGTTTGGACGACCAAACTATAGGACAAATTAGTTTAAAATGGCATGTTATGTGTTAAATTGAGACAATGTTTTGAGTTGGGTAAATTTTTAATTTTGTGTCGAGTCAAAATGAATTCGGATTCTGCTAAGTAAGAGATTTAATTTGATATATTATTATACATTCAAATCAGAAAATGAGAACTTGATTCTAAGGGTGTGTTTGGAAATCAAGAAAATGACTTCTGAAAAATGAGTTATTTTTCATAAAATATTTTCATTTTAAGTGTTTGGTTGCATGCATTCTAGAAAACTGTCTTGATGTGTTTGGTTCATTTTCTGGAAAATGAGTAGAATTGTATAATTAAACATTTTAATTGTTTTATTTAATATTAAAAATTATGTTATTTATTAACAAATTTAAAAAAAAATCCGGTTTCCTGCGAAAATCAGAGTATTGGTCTCTGCCGAAAACCAGAGCAAGGTTGTGCTCGTTGATGTAGCTGTGGTTTGTGGAAAATGACTTCCGCCAAATCATTTCCCCTAAAAACAACATTATTTTCCCTTTGACCGGAAAATGATTTCCGTTGACTTCAATTTTCCAGACTCTTTCAAACACAGGAAACCCCGAAAATGATTTCCAAAAATCATTTGATTTCCATAAAGCATTTTCCGAGTTTCCAAACACACCATAAAAGTATACCCATTGAGTCGTTGGGAAAATTTGAGCTTTGAAGCGCTTTTGTAAGTAACGTTTGTTCTAGTTCACTAAGTAGTATATTTGAGTGCTTGAACATATTATTATAATTCATTGTATCTTGGAAAATTGAAATGCTCATAGGACCCTTAGAAGGAAACGAATCGATTTTAAGAAAAGTGTAAAAATATTACACGCCTTAAATCAACCGTGTTTTTAATTTGAAGAATTTTTATATTGAATTTAATTGAAAAATTCCTATACAAACTTATGAAATTCAAGCAAAATATTCTTAAATTTCGTTAAAAAAAAAAAAAAAACACTCTTAAAAATGAATGATATTTAACATTTTTATATATCACACTGATATTCGCATCACGTAATATGTGGTTATTGATTATTCCCGGTCATAATTACCCTAAACGATCTTTACGGGTAAATATCCTCAATTTTCTTTTGGTTTTATGTGTTTTTCACCTTTCTCCTTTTAGAAGGGACGTTCTGTCTCTTTAGTCTATTTACCATAGAGTGTTTTCAATCGTTATGCGATGGAACCGTGTTCATCATCCATGGTGAACACAGTTTCAACAGTGTTAGTGCACCGTTATTTATTTTTTTTTTCTTGATTAATCGTGTGACTTTTTTTCTTCATTTTCACATTTCGCGGTTTCACTTTAATTTGAGGTGAACAATGATTTCGGACATTCATAAATTATGAATCCATGCCTGCACATTCACTTTGGACCCGTGCCTACACATTCCCGTCCGAAACCATGACTGCTCCTCTGTAGCGCATGCTTTTTCTACATTCATAAATTATGAATTTTCTGTTATGAGATTATGAACTTTCTGTTATGGGATTATGAATTTTCTGTTATGAGATTATGAATTTACATTAAATTCATAATCTCATAACAGAAAATTCATAATTTAATAAATATTTTTCTTTTATGCGATTATGAATTTTCTGTTATGAGATTATGTATTTACAGTACATTCATAATCTCATAACAGAAAATTCATAATCTGACTAAACGCACGCCGTTAACATCGCATTCGTAATTTTTTTTTTTAATGTAAAAACGGCACCGTTTAGATCCGTGTTCACCATTCATGATGAACACGTTTCCAGGGCATAATTTGCGGTTCTACAACATAATTTGCCGTTGAAAGGGGCTAAGGCTAGGCCCAGACATAGAGACTCCTAAAAGAGTTGGGCCCTCCTAACTTTTCTTGCCCACTTTACTATGAACTATGAAGCTGGCAAATTATTGTATGGACCATGGTTCACACAATGTTATGTGGATCATAACAAAAAGTACATTTTTAATATATTAAATATACATTATTTTTGTACTGAATATACATTATACAATATAATGTACACTCGGAACAAAAATAATATATATCCCCTGTATACAATATATATTATCTTTGTACTGAATGTACATTATTTTTGTACTGAATGTACATTATTTTATAATAGATAAAATATGGTTCACACAACTTGTGTGGATCATGGTCCACGCAATAATGATTGCTATGAAGCTATAAAAAATCTAATATTTTAATTTTAATTTTATTTTTTCTAATAAGGGTCGAATCGGCAAATTATGCTGTGCATCCGTGTGCACCATGCATGGTGTACACGGATGCAAAAACAGCGTCGTTTTACTTAAATAAAAAAAATCATTTTCGATGCCGTTAGTTACGTAAAACATATGTTCATAATTTTATAATTTCACATTCTGGATTTATAGTTATGAAATTATAGATGTGTAGTTATGCAATTCTGGAATTATAGTTATGAAGTTATGGATGTGTAATCATGCATGCGATTCTGAATGTATAGTTATGAAGTTATAGATGCATGTGTAGTTATGCATGCGATTCTGAATGTATAGTTATGAAGTTATGGATGCAATTCTGAATGTATAGTTATGAAGTTATGGATGTGTGGTTATGCAATTCTGGATTTATAGTTATGAAGTTATGGATGTGTAGTTATGCAATTCTGAATGTATAGTTATGAAGTTATGGATGTGTAGTTATGTCATTCTGGATTTATAGTTAATGAAGTTATGGATGTGTAGTTATGCAATTCTGGATGTATAGTTATAAAGTTATGGATATGTAGTTATGCAATTCTGGATTTATAGATATGAAGTTATGGATGTATAGTTATGTAATTCTGGATGTATAGTTATGAAGTTATGGATGTGTAGTTATGCAATTATGATTTTTTTTAATTTTTTTTTAAGTTGGGCGTCAAAACGACGTTGTTTTTGCAAACGTGTGCACCATGCATGGTGCACACGGTTGCATAGCATAACGCTCCGGTCGAATCGGGCATCTAACTATATGTACAATTAGACATTTGTACTTAAACAATTTTCAATTAGACCTTTAAACTTGTTAAGATTTTACAATTTATTAATTTAACAAGTTACTAAAGAGTAATTAGTCAATTTTATTTACATGACATCTTACGTGGAATCCTATTTAGATTTTTTTTTTTAAATAAAAACTTTCCAGCGATGGAGAAGTTGGCACCAATTTCTCTTTCAAGATTCTTCATCCTTAACCACTTTGATTTTATCATCACCGCTTCAATCTCACTATCACCATTATCTCATAAAGAGTTTAGACTATTAATTGTGAACTTATAGGTCTAAAATGACTAGTGGCAAGGGGGCAGAGGTTTTTAACTCTTTTAATTCTTCTTCTT